AAATACGATTAGTACAAACACTGGAGAGATTTCATTTAGAGACCATAGCTATGTTACTGAGTGAACAAAGTGAGAGCATTTCCTTCTCTCCATCTGCATCTGGATTCCAGTAGGGCAGTGGAAAGTAATCCTTTCATGAATTTTTATCTGAAAGGCTAATTTCATTTATCTTCAGTTTGCATCCTACATTGTATCGCACCAAAAGAGAATTTGAAAAGTGGACTTGAAACAGCAGGTGAAATTCAAAAGTAGTTTATTACTGGAGTTATTAAATAGGATTTCAGTTTTTCTGTAGTTCATGAAAGCAATAGATATCACCCTCTGTTCTTATTCAGAGGAACAGCAGGATGCTCCAAAGTCCTTCATTGCTCTGGATTCTGCCTGTGCAGGAAAGGAAGGGGCCTCACAGTTCCAAGGTGATGACTTGAAACCACCAAACCTGAATCAATGGGTGAAAACTTTATTTTGCTTCCTTGACTGGAATTCATAGTTAGAGAAATGTAGACACTGACTAATTAGAAAACATCACTGTAACTAGTAGCAAAAGCATATGATGCCTTCGGGGCCGGTTTAGTGATTTTACCGTCTCATAATCCTCTCTTCCAAAATGATGGACTTAAAATTGACAATGGAAACCACAGCAGAGGCTTATTTTATGTTCCTTAAATAATTATCTCCTATTTTTCAGAGCAGTTTATTTTTCCCCCTTAAAACTTTATTTTCAGTTTTCAGAACTAAAATTTAAAACCTGAGAAATCATGGGGTTTATTTTTCTCAGTTCATATTGTGTTCTGTCTGGGAGGGTTAAGTAAACTGCTAATTTTTTCTTTTGTTTTAAAAAAAACTAATTCTCTATTAATAGCAGTGTTGATTTATTACACTTATGAAATAATTAATTAGCTCAGACAGAAGCAAAGAATGTTAAAGCTGGCAGTAGCTTTGGAGAACATTTAGTCCAGTCCCTTTGTTTTAGACAAGAGAAACCAGGTCCGAAGAATATGTTCATTTTTTCCTCAGATCCGGAGAATACATAGCATTTTCTGGGTGGGGTACGGATTTGGCCTTAGGTGACCCCACCAAAATTCAGCATTTTTCTGCTTTTTGTATATTAAATCCTTACTTATTTGCAAAAATGTTTAAAAATTAGGTCAGTATATCATAAGAGAAATGTAAATATATTCTGAGATATAAAGTTATGATATTTAGTGTGCATGTCTATAACCTTGATACATCTAAAAAACATATGGACATAAATAACTTGGGTAATTTAACTCTGAAGTGAGAAGTAATTTATTTTTGTGAGGAATATGTTTCTTCTATCTAGGCAGAATTTCAATAGCAAATAAAGAAGTGTGAACCAAACATCCTAATCTATTAACTGAGTGACAGCATATTATGTATTTCTTTTCATATTTGAATGATACCGTGATTATAAAAATGCTTCAGTAGCTGTGGTGTTCACATAATCAACTCTTGAGTACTATTTTTTGTTATCATTTCAGATTTTTGCAGTAGAACCTTTATAAGAAGAGACTCGCATTGTTTTGAATTATGTAAATTTCCCGTGTATTGAATAGGTAAAGAGGGATGAAATTGGGGTACGGAGCTATCATAGAAAATTAGATCTGATTCAGTTCATCATTTCACATGCAGTAGAGGGGTGGATAGGATTGGGTTATTGCGCCCATGCCCACTCCCCTGCCTGGTAATTGGCGATCATGCAGCTTATCGTGTGGCCCACAGACCTTCAGCAGTATCATCAGCTGGGGGCTTGTAGAAATTCATAATCTCAGGCCCCACTCCAGACCTACTGAATACAGACCTGCATTTTACAAGATTCCCAGATGGCTCACATGCTTGCTGAAGTTTGAGAAGCACTGGGCTATAGTACTTTTTATCAGGATGCTGCCTTGTTAATTGCACAAAGGTCTCCACAGTAACTTTGAATGTGAAATCTGCCAGGCAGAATGTATGATTCTGGACCTTGCATTCATGCCTTCATTCAGCAGGTATTTGGTGAGCTAAACTAGGTGTTAGGCTGTGTTTTAGGGATAAAACATTAAGACACTGTCTCCCTTCACTAAGCTCATCAAAGCAGGTGACAGCAGAAGACAGATGATGGTAGTGCAATGTGATAGGTCTGATAATAGACATTTGTGTAGGATATTTCCAGGCTTCAAAAGGTTATACAGCTTAGCATGGAGGGAGGAACTAGGATTAAAGAAAGCTTTCTGAGCTGACTCTTAAAGGATCAATAGGTGTGTAGTAGTTTTGTATTGCCGCATTACAAATTACTACAAACTTAGTGGCTTCAAACACTTATTTATTATTACCTCACATTTCTGTAGGCCAGACGTCCATGCATGGCTTAAATGGATTCTCTGCTCAGGGTCTCAGATGGTCAAGTCCAAGTATTGGTCTGGCTGAGTTACTTTTGGAGCTCAGTGGCCTCTTCCAAGCTCATGTGGTTGTTGGCAGACTTCTTTTCCTCGCAGTTGTAGGACTGAGGTTTCTGCTCTTTTGCTGGTGTTAAGCAGGGGCCACTCTTGGCTCTAAGAGGCCCTGCAGTTCCTCTCCATGGGGTACTCTCACACATGGCAGCCCACTTTTTCAAAGCCCGCAGGAGAAATCCTCTTATTCCAGTCAGTTGAGGTGGAGTCATACATTGTAATGCAATCGAGGAGGTGACTGTGTGTGCCATTCCCTTTGCCATATTCTGTGCTCTAGAAGCAAGTGACAGGTTTCACCCCCACTCAGGGAAGGAGGCTACAAGGGCACAGTTCATTAGGGGTCAGAGAGAATCCGGCCCACCACAACAGTGATTACTGGGTGGAGGTATTATGAGGTGGCCACATAGGGGAGGAGAAGTAGGAAAGTTTTCACTTCATTAGTTTCTATATACATTTTTACCTTTGAACCATGTGAACTCAAAAACTAAAATAAATATATATATGGAAAGACAGCAAGCTAAGGCAACTCAAGGAAATGATCACGCTAGTTATATGTAGCTGTATGGGCAAGTGGCAGCCTGATGCAGTTTGTTGGTTTGCTTTACCTATCAATAAACTTTAATCACAAGTCTTAATATATATGGTTTATTTGAAAATTACATGGTTTACTACTACCTTAAAGCCATAGACTAAAAAAGAAACTAAAAAAGTATAATATAAAAATGAAATTAATAGTACTTATTTCAACATTTAAAAATGAGTTTGCTCTCACCAAAATATTAATATGCATGATTCTTTTTTGAAAGCCTGATTCAAAGCTTTGTGTTGCAATTATCTGAAGTTTATTTTTTTGGGTTTGGTTTTAATGGATGTCATAGCTAGGATGACTGACCATCCTGGTTTGTTTAGAACTGAGGGGTCCCCCAGATGTGGGACTTCAGAACTGTGACAAGGTCAGTTCTGAGCAAACTGGGACTGTCAGTCACCCTAGTCATAGTTTAAAAAGACATGTCCCAAAGATATAGAGGAATACACTGAAAAGATAATTGTTGGCCAAAATTACTAAATCATGGTACTCAGTTTTCAGTGTTACCCATCAATAATACAAAGTTTTTTTGTAGATTTCAGCTGCTTAATTTTTACCTTCTATGTTGACAGTCAGTTTTTCCTGGGAAGTAATCAAAAGTACTGCTTATTTATGTTTCCAAAAGTGAGTTCAGAGCCCATTAAAACCCTTCATTTGGAAGATTTTTAAATTGGGGAACTGCTCCCCAATTTTTAAGTGTACAATTATTATGAAATTTTACAAAGGGCATACATTGTTTATGGCCACAAAATTATGTAAATAAAATACCTGTCTGGATGCCCATTAACAAATGTTCTTTGCTACTGTGAGTATCTTTCAGAATAGAAGTGATTCCCTTAGTCTTTGCTAAAGGGACAACTTTCCTTCAAGATTGCTGTGAGAGTGTGCCTGACGCGTTGCTTGCTCCATGGAGAGAAGGCCTGCCATCTTTCTTGTTGGTTGCTTATATTGTCCTTCATATTTGGTCTGTAGTTCATCCCAGGAGTCTTTGAAGTCATTTGTCCATTATTTGAGGGTCAGTTTGGCTAAAATTAGATAATGTTTTCTTAACTGAACCTAGGCTGAAAGCAAAGGTAGGAAGGAGTACGTGGCTCTGGTGTGGGACATGCCTCTGCTGTCAGCCTACCCCTTGTGTTACTGTCAGACCCAGGGATCTTGTTTGGAAGGTGATCTGTTCAATATGAACTATCAGTGCCCTTACATTCTCTTTTATTTTAGTCAACAAATAGGTAACAGAGTTTTCTACCCCAAAATATGTCTGGTTATTTTCAAGAAACAAAAAACCTCAGGAAAAACCTTTGTCGCTTTAACTGCCCCCCAAAATTTAGGTAGAGGGCCTGCTCTGGGAAGGGTGCTATTATCATAGATAACTATAGTTTAATGTGAACTGGTGTGATAGGGAGGAACCTAGCAAGGCCCCTTTGAACAAAGTCCTCTCTATGTTCACTGTTAAAGATGGCCCAACAAACATTTACCAAACATTTTCTTTTCCATCTCCCTGTGAATTGCCTTCCTGCCCTTCGAAGTCCCAAACCACAATCCCTCTACCCTTTTCTCCTTAGCTCAAGATGACATATAAGCCTTAACTGGCCTAGCTGTCCTTGGGTCTCCTATTGGTATGGAACCTCTATGTGTACATATGTAATAAATTTGGTCATTTTGTCCTATTAATCTGTCTCATATGATTTGATTATTATCCAGCCAGAATAACTTAGAGAAACAGGAGGAAAAATTATTTTTCCTCCCCACAACAGTAATAAAGGATTCCTCCCATGTCTGAATGGATTGTGGTATGCCCCTCCTAGGGTTTGTATACCCATCTGGAGGGCACTGGCTCCTGATATATTGTCCCCTTCATTACAGTGCTTCTTACGGGTTGGCTTCCTGCAAACAGAAAATTTAGTTTTCAGTGTTTCAAACAATTATCCCCAAATATGGTCTAAACCATGTTTTCTGTGTTCTAGGAGCAAGCTGAAGAAGAAAAGCCCAGGGATGGTGCAGCTCCTTTGAGTCACGGTAATTATCACCACCATTTACAGTTTCAGTTCACAATGAACAACTTTTAAATGAAACTTTTATTAGGTGGCTTTAGTTGACTTAGGTATATTAATTTGTCTATAATAATAGTATTATTTATCAACAGTGTGCTGCATACCCCTCTGTAGACTTTATCAGTGTCATCAAAGATTTTCAAATTCAGGGTAGGGCAAAGGTAGATTTACAGTTGTGATAATGCAAAACACAGTTTATTCTTGTATTATTTTCCATACGAACAACTAACTATAAACTTACTTTTGCCTCACTCTGTATATTCATCAAGAAAAAGTTTGAAGTTCTTACCTCATTTATATTTGCTTTTTTAAAAAGCTTTAAGTGAGACAACATTTGATTTGCAAACTTTCCCATGAACAGGAAAATAAGAAATCCTACTTCATTTATAATTCTTCACTTAAGCTTTTCCCAGATTGGTTTACTCTTCTAATGATAGCATTTGTACTCTCCTATTGAAGTCATGCTTTAGAGGAGATTGTACATTTGCTCTAAGATGAATATCCCTCATTATGGTTACTAATATGGCTTTTGAATATTCAGCTAATTCTCTGATGCTTTAAGTTTTTTTTTTTTTAAACCTATCTTTATTGATTTCGGAGAGAGGAAAGGAGGGAGAGAAAGAGAGAGATAGAAACATCAATAATGAGAGAGTCATTGATCGGCTGCCTAGCCCGCAACCTGGGCATGTGCCCTGACTGGGAATTGAACCCCCATCTCCTGGATCCTAGGTTGATGCTCAACCGCTGAGCCACGCCCGGCCGGGCTGATGCTTTAAATTTAAATAAAAAATGCAGATGCTATTTGCCTGGAATATGTATTCCATATATTTTGTGATTATTACTATACAAGCAGACAATTGCTATTAAACTTTCTGTAAAATGTAGTTGAATGTCCAACATTTGTGCTGTTTTCCATGGGAAGAAAGCATATAAATTTGATAACTTTTCCCTAATGATCTTTTTTAAAAAAAAAAAGTCTTTTATAGATTTCAGAGGAAGGGAGAGAGAGAAACAATGATGAGCAAGTCATTGATCCTCTGCCTCCTACATGTCCCCCACTGGGGATCGAGCCCAAAATCTAGGCATGTGCCCATGACAGGGAATTGAACCTCAGTCTCCTGGATCATAGGTCGATGCTCAACTGCTGAGCCTTGCTGGCCGGGCTCTTTAATGATCTTTTGAAGTATCTTAAGTGTTTGTTGAGTAAGGTTTTCTTTTTTAATAATGGGAAAAAATAAAAATACCTTGAGAAAAATGACAAAAAAAGAACTTAGGTGTTTGAAGATCATTTTATATTGCTTAGTCTTGGTACAAAATTTTGGAAATTTGTGGCCTTCTACCTAAATGACTTTTAAAATAAAAATTGTTTTCAACTATAAGAAAAATATATTACTTTAAATTTCTTTCCTTTTCTTGCTGTCACCCCAGTCCCATCATGTTCTTTGCTAAAAAACCTAAATAGAATATGATAATTGATAATTATGTAACTTGATGTTCATTTCCATTGAAATACACTTCAATTATGCAACACTGGAATTCCAGAAATAAATTTGGACTGTACCTGGCCTTAACAGCAGGGTTTTTTTAAAAACATTTATTTTCTTCTCTGAGAGAGGTTGTGATTTATTATGTTGTTGTTTCTTCCCTGCAGCTATATTTTCACACTAATGTAAATTGTTTTAGATCCTCTTATTCCATGGTTGAAGCATTGATTCTACAAAAAGAAAAGCAGAGTTAGGTCAACCATTTATAAATGTTCAGTCTCCAAAACTAAGATTTTTTAGTAATTTAGTATAGTTTCATTATAGCCAACTACATGTTTTCTTAAATAGTTTTTCAGTTTTAATGGAAAGTAACTTTTTGCTGCTGTTCTTCCATTGTCAGACTTGTTTTATAGTTAGTGGTTCACTCTCAGAAATTCCACCCTTTGGTTTGTTCTCCAAATCTGATGTTGCTGTTGATATTTTCCCAGCTGTAGAACATAGATAGCTTAATGTTTAGAAGAAAGATGAGGTTTGGTTTGTGTATACAGATACTGCAAACTGCTAGTTGACATGCAAATTGAAATAGTAGAGGGACTTTTGAGGTAATTTACATTTTTACCACTTTTAAGTGGAATAAAGGGAACTATTCCCTAAGTTTCCTGTTGTCCTAGTATTAAAGTAGGGATTTTCTTCCTATAGTTCCTGGAAATAGTTTAACCTTTTCTGTAGGCTACTTGCAAAATAAGAGATTTAGTCACTTATCTCTTAAAAATGATAACAAAAGGAAAACAAAAATTATGTACACAGTAGCGCTGGAAGACCTAGTGCTATGAGCTTCCTAGTGCTATGAACTTCCCTCTCAGGACTGCTTTCATTGTGTCCCATGGATCTGGAGTTGTATGTTCATTTTCATTTGTTTCCAGGAAGTTTTTTCTTTCTTTCTTGATCTCTTTGGTAACCCATTCATAGTTTAAAAGGATGCTTTTCAACCTCCATGTGTTTAAATGTCTTTTAGTGTTTTTATTGTAGTTGATTTCTAATTTCTTGCCACTGTGATCCGAGAAGATGCTTGATATTATTTCAGTCTTCTTGAACTTTTAGAGACTTGATTTGTGTCCGAACATGTGGTCTATCTTTGAGAATGTCCCATGTGCACTTGAGAAGAATGTATATTCTGCAGCTTTGGAGTAGAATGTTCTGTAAATGTCAATTAAGTCCATCTGATCGAGTGTGTCATTTACGGTCACTGTTTCCTTGTTGATTTTTTGTCTGGAAGACCTATCCAGTGAAGTCAGTGGGGTGTGAAAGTCCCCTAGTATGACTGTATTGCTGTCAATTTCTCCCTTAAAGCCCTCTAGAAGTTTTTTTTTATAAATTTAGGTTCTCCTATATTGGATGCATATATGTTCATCAGGGTTATATTCTCTTGTTGGATTGATCCCTTTATTATGTAATGACCTTTCTTGTCTCTCATTATGTTCTTCATTTTGAAGTCTATTTTGTCTGATATGAGTATTGCTACCCCAGCTTTTTTTTTATTTCCATTTGTATGGAAAATTTTTTTCCATCCTTTCACTCTCATCCTATGTGAGTCTTTTGTTCTGAGGTGGGTCTCTTGTAGACAGCATATATTTGGGTCATGTTTTCTTATCCATTCAGCCACCCTGTATCTTTTTATTGGGGCATTTAATCCATTTACATTTAAGGTTATTATTGAAAGATACCTATTTACTGCCATTTTGTTTCTTTATACCTATGTTTCTCATTCTTTTTATTTCTACTTCTAAATATAGCAGTGCCTTTAACATTTCCTGTAATGCTGGTTTTGTAGTGATAAAGTCTTTTAGCTTTTTTTTTTTTTTTTTTTTTTTTTTTT